ACGCCCTTGGGATATGTGTAGCTCCTGACTCAAGAAGTACTCCACAGCCTTCATACGTGATCTTTGCAGCCAATGCTCTCACTGCGTGGTGCCCTCAATGACCGCAATGGGGATGTGGCTTCCCCCGAACAACTGGTTCTGGTTCTCGTTGAGGCCATTGTAGCGGAACTGGTAGTAGAGCTCCTCAAAGAAGAATCCTCCTCCTTCTCACTCCCCCCAGCTTGCATTGCAGCTGCGCCCAACGTGGAAGCCTCTTTCTCTTGCGTGGCGACCTTTTGCACCTTGGGATTACCCCCGTTTGTTTTGCCTTTGCCCTTCGCCTTGGCCCCGTCACGCTTGCCATCCTTCTTCCCCTCCACCGACAAGTCTGGTTCACTCGCTCACAGCGACGAAGGTAGCGTCGGAGCTCTGCCTGCAGGTTGGGGCGCGCTTCCGGGAGCGCATCTGACCAATCCGTGGAGCGTTCGTTGTCGTCAGCGGCATGCCGGTTCCAGCTTGCCCAGAGTCGGTTGCTAACGCGGTCCATGCCACGGTTTTCCGGGCGGACGCGGGGCAGCCGGCCAAAGGAGAAACGAAAGGGTTCTTCACGGAGCTTGACCAGCTGCCGAAGGATTGGTGGAAGGTCGTTGAGAACGAGCGTGGCGGGTATCAGTACAAGACTGTGACTCAAGTCTTGGGGACCTTGGTGGAGACCATGCTCGATGGCTGCGCCGGAAGCAACCACGTGACTGAAGAACTCGTGGTGAGCATGCTGAACAAGGCCGCGGAGTTGGGGGTCAAGCCGGACGATCCTCGCTTTCCGGTCGCGCAGCTCGAACGCTGGGTTTATCCGGAGTTCGTTCATGGCATAGCCAGTGGAGCACCAGTGCCTCTGAAAGGGGCTTCTCGCTGCCTGGAGTCACAGCGCGAACCCTTCGCGGCTGCCAGTAGGCCAAATGCCTGCAACTGCTTCAACTGACCCACCAACTGGGAGAACGGCGTCGCACCGGGTCGCGTCAGGCAACCACGTTCCTGTCCTCAAGACTGGAACCAACGCCCCTTCACCAGGCACTAGTTGCGCAAGCTCCTCCCCAAGAGTACTCAACCGCGCTCGCTGCCCTCGCCCTGGCTCGGAAGCCCCATGGAGCCCATGATCCGTGCTTGCGAGGACGGACTCGAACGCATAAGCTCTGTCTTTGCGTTCGCACTGCAGGTCCTCGCAACGCGGTGCCTGAATGCCCAACGTGTCAAGGATGTGGGCGTTAGGGTTTGGACGAAAGCCTAACCTGCGTCGAGCCTCGCAGTCGAGAGCCTGACCGCCGAGGATGAGGCCGTGCCAATCGCTTGACCCCTTCTACCGCTATCTTGCAGCGGACGAACAGCTCCGGTCCATCCTTGCGTTGGCCCCGTTCCGTCCCTTCCATCATGCGGACGCGAAGCGTTGGGAGCCTTGCAGTGATGGGTCTGAGATGACATCCCAGCTCACACGGTCGCTGCCGCTTCGTCCTCCACTCCCATCCCCCTTCTCATGGTGTTCTTGTAGTTCACCTTCACGATGATCGCCCCCACATTCTTTAGGATGTAGGACTCCACCATCAGGCCACATCCCGCGACCACCGCAAAGATGTTCTTGTACTCCACGATCGTGTCCTTGTAGTACATGAAGTTGTCGTTGTGGGATTGCCCAATCACTGGACATTCCCAGAGCCTCACTTGCCCATGGCCATGGAGGCAATTCCGGTAGTTCAACGTGATGACCAACCTGGAGGAGTCCCCATAATAGGCGCTTGGGTTCCTTCCATCGGTGTGAACATCACTGTCGATGGCGTCTTCGGGCAGGGAGTCTGATCTGGAGGCTGCGGCCTCGAGGCGTAGTTCTTCTTCAGAACCTCAACTTGTTGCCGAAGTTCATCATTTTGCCTGCGTAGCTTCTCCACCATTTGCGATTCAACTTCACGTTGTAGGTCATGGTCGACCTCCAGTTGTGCTCGATGTACAGGTTCGCGCCGTTGGCAACGATCACCATGATGACCTTGTACTCGTCGATCTCCATGGATTTCTTCGTCGTCCGCCCTCTCCCTTTTCGGTCGGGCTTTTGCAGCTTGTCCTATCCAACTTCTTGTCGTTCCTCCTGAGGTGCACTCGTGGTTGGCCAACCAGTGCTGATCTTCACCTTCTTTTCTAGATCTTCGGTGTCTTGGGCCGCACCTTCGTCACGGTCACCTTGTCCACCACCACATGCACTGATTGCTCCCCTTCATGCCCTCTACCACGCCCAGGATCCTGCATGTCCTCCAGCGGCCATTGCTCTTGCGCCTCAAGGTCCAGCAGGTCAAGGGCGTGATTTTCCGGCAGCAGCTCTTAGACCCTTCACCAAACAAGCTCAGTTCCGATTCGCCTTCGGGCACCGCCGGCAGATCCTCATGGTCGCGCAGCCAGTAGTCGAGCTTGTTCCTGGATGTCAGCCGACCAAAACGGATTCACGTTCGCCATGGCGGCCAACAACTAGGCTGTGCGCACCACAGTCCGAGGTGGTCTTCCCCCAGCCCCCCTATCAACAATTGGAGCCTCTAGAATAATATGATACAGAACCAATCAATTGATCAAAATGGAAAGAATCATTTCTTAGCTATCTCTGTCAATACTAAAAATGCAAGTAATCATGTCTTAGCTATCTCTGGCAATACTAAAAATGAAAAGAATCATGTCTTAGCTATCTCTGGCAATACTAAAAATGAAAAGAATCTGACTTTCAGGAAATAAGGGAATAATTATGTAAAACATGTTTTGGAGCCTGAAATCTCTAGACATTATTCTAGGCCCCCCCCCTAAATACTGTCAGAAAGCTGCTTGCTGGACTACCCCCTTTGCTTGAATGATTTTTGTTTTTTCAATACTTTTGAATACGGGGTTTTGTAAAGAAAGTGTGCAATGACTTTTGGAAACTTTTGGACCGCTTAAAGACCAAAGAGCTTAGGTAAGTAACGCAAATCAAAAGGAAAAGAAAGGGAATGAATACAAGTTTACTTAAAGCAAAATATTTCTAAGCCTGAAATCTTTAGACATTATTCTAGGGCCCCCCTAAATAACGTCAGAAAGCTGCTTGCTGGACTATATATACCCCCTTTGCTTCAATGATTTTTGAGTTTTTTCAATACTTTTGAATGAGGGATTTTGTAAAGAAGAAAATGTGCACTGACTTTTGGAAACTTTTGGAAAGCTTAAAGACTAAGAGCTTAGGTAAGTAAAGCAAAGCAAAAGGAAAAGAAAGGGAATGAATACAAGTTTACTTAAAGCAAACTATTTTAAGCCAAAAGGGAAAATAGGCTGCAACAATTGAACATATTCCATTACAACTATCCCTGCAAAAAAAACATTCTGTGGGCCTTCATTAATCTGTGCAGGAAAAAAAGTCATCATTCTGGGGTACTTTATTAATCCGAGGTAAACATTAACCTGAGTGGCGGAGCACGCCTTTTTCTCAGGCTAGAAAGGGCCTGCGGTAAACAGGCATCGATCGTCACAAAATGTGAGTGCTTCATGGACATCTTTCCTTGCAGAAACAAACCTGGGGGACCTATACCTAGTTTGTTGAAGACAGCTTGCGTGCATGTGCGCAAACTAAGGCCGGGACCGAGGTGCACGCAAAAGAAGAAGAGGATGAAGATGACAGGTCATGAAGACGGAATGGAAATGAAAGGAAGAGGGAAAAATGCGCGGGCCAATGAAAAGGACATTCGAGGGAAAGCCGACAAAAGGAAGGGGAAGCATGGGAAGGCAAAAAATAATGGAGAGAGAAAGAGATGGAGAGAGAGAAAAGGATAAATATAGAGAGATATATAGAGGGAAAAAAGTAAGGCTCAGAGACTCAGACGACGCCAATCTTAAATGAACTACACTGCTGCGGCCTACTCTTGCCTTGTCAATCTGACTGGCTGATACGAACGCTACAGGCTGCTCTGGGCGTTAAGCCTGCTCACGCTCCATCCGTGCCGTCAAGTCTTAATCGACCTTTGCCTTAGGGTTCCTATGCTCGCTGTGAGCTGCTGCCAGACACACTTGGGAAAATGCTTGCCACACGCCGACCCAAGCAAGTAAAACCCAAAAAGTCAGGGATGATAGTGCTCCTTGAACATATTCGCAAGCATTTCCCAAACGTATTCACAAGCACAAACACTGCACCTTGAATATACTCACAAGCTTGAAGGTACGTAGCCACCAAAATTGGCTTACAGTGGGTAGGTAGGTCTTTTCATTGGCGCAGGACTCATCAAAATTCCTTGCGCCCCCTGTTCTTTTAGGAGAAACAAACAGGGTGTGCACACACAAGAGCACACCGCCTATTTCTGAGCGAGAAATGCACACTCAAGATCTAGCGTGTACGGTCGGAATGTCACATGCCCTGAAGACACCTTGGTACAGCGGGAAACCTGCAGTCATGCAGCGGAGTCCAACCACTGCCATTTTATGTTCAGCAAGATGAAAGGATCGCTTTGTAGCGTAACTGAGAGCAGTGAAACAGAAAGAGCTGATAGACAAGTCCGCCGAGAATTCTGCCTCGTGTTCTTGAACCAGGCGAAAAAAATCGTTCTGTAGTGTACAATGAGCAGGTACATGGTTGAGCGTCCCCAACCACTTCCCTTCCAATGACCTAGCTTCATTGGATCGGGCGACTAAAAACCTGGCCATTGAATGTCAAAAGACCACTTTTGAATTCAAACACAAAAGCACAGCACGGCGATCTGAAACTGATTTCTGAGCCGCCTATAGCCTAGCTCCCGGCCCCCTCTCCCAACGCAACGAAATGGGATTGCGCAACCGATTCCTGAGGCTAAACATTATCCGCAGCTGTGCCTAACCTCCCCCCATGCAACGTAGTAGATTAAACATGATTTAGAATTCTTCCTTATTAGCTCTCATGTCCTTTGCAAACCAACGCGTGTGCGCTCCCTGCGGATCGAGGGTCGGTGGATATTGTTCTTTAGATGTGCTTGGATGTTGGGACTCGCAGCTTTTGGCAGGTTTGCCAAGATGTTTGATCCAAACAAGCTGCCCAAAGACTTCAGAAGGCAGCTCTACCATGGACAGTACAGGCTTCCAAGAGGAGGAGGAGGAGGAGGAGGTAATTTGGGCCTTCAGGTCTGCCACGAACTGGATATTGCATACTTTGAGGATGTGCAGTTTTGGGAATCGGATGTGCCTCAAACACCTCCCAATACGCCAGTTCATGCATGCGCCCCTGACAACAGCGATGCCAAGCGCGACCGGCTATCTAAGACTCCTACCTTGCCATGTTCCAGGAACCAACGAAATCCAAGTCTGACCTCAGAGGCTGAGTCTGAACTTCAACCCCAACCATTTCAAAGGCAAACTACTCACACAACGGACAACGAGATGCCAGTTGTTGAAACCGAGAGGGCAGATGCTTGCGAAGAATCCAGTAGCTCTGCATGCCCTGAGCTTCCTGAACCTGATTTTAGCATGGCACCGCTTGCTGATGACGAGATTGTGTACAATGACACCACGGTCGAACATGAAAAGCGCCTTTCGATGCTATCACCTCACATCGATGTTCAGCCTCGAGCACATTGGCTGGAAGTGCAGGAGAGGAGGGTTGGCCAGCAGATACGCCGCAATCAGGTTTCCTACGATGAGACACCACGCCCCAGACAAGCTGGTGGTTTGGCCCGGCACCTAGAGCCATGAATTCCGTGAGCACTTTGCGAAGCTATGAGCACAGCTGTTCCAGTTGTAAGCTATAGAGCTGTTGCCCTGTTCGTGACTTTTCGCATGGAAGCCTGGAAGTTTGGACGCAAATTTTTCATAGTCTTTCGGCTTGGGAGCTTCGGAGCCCTGGAACCCTGCAACCAGAACCTTGAAACCCTCCAACTTCGCAACTCCCGAACCAAATTTTTATTGCTCTATGTCATATGTGCCTGGAACTATATACAGTATGTGTTTTGATTGCAACATTATCATCGCGCCTTGACTCTGGAACCATGAATTGCTCGCAACTTTCACCTGGAACGCCGGAACCCTGGCAACTTGAAGCTGCGGCAAGTCACAGTTTTTCTTCCCAAACTACGGAATTTCTTACTTCTCTTTGAGCCAGGCTGCCAGGCCCAGGTCGTAACTTTTCTGGAATCCAATTGCCTAACAGGATTTTCCTTTGCCACTTACGCCATCATGATCCGCTTGGCGGTTGCAAAAGGCAAGCGCCAAAAGGCAAGCAACGCAGAAGGAAAGTATAGATACGCCAAAGGTGCAGAAGTGTTTCCGGATTGCTGACTAAGTCCGTAGGTCGTCTAAGTCGAACTGTGTAGCTTTCCATTCACTCGTCCGTCTTCCGATCACATTGCTTGTTGGCCCTTTCTATGTTTCATTCGGGTTTTGGTTGGCTGTGTAGCGACCCAGCGACTGCACAAGTATCCTGATATTTCTCTTTCAATACACTATTTGGGTCTATGCCGGTGCATTTATTGTTGACTTTGCACGCTCCGAATGCGATTTTGCTCAGTGTGTGGCTGGAGAGAAAAGGAAGCTACAAGACAAGTATCAGTATGATATATACATATATACGTACAGATATTCCCAATCACATTTCAATCGGGAGCACCAAGCCTTTAGCAACTTCGGCTAAATATCATGGCAGATCTGATTGTACCAGTAAGCTTCCGTTCACTGTCAATGCTTCTGCATACTACGTGAGACAAAGTGACGTAAAGACGTAAGGGCACCATTTGAACTTATGCTTGCCACGCCTGCCGTGCCGGTGGTGGCGCAGGCTCCCATCTGAGACATTCATAAGAATATTGAAACGCTGGCCGCAGAAGTTAATCCAGCCTGAGGTTCGTGGGCACTTTACCAAAGTACATCAAAAACTTGAGGCCAGGTCACGTGTGGAAAGGACATCACATAAGCGATTGGCTTTTGAGAGTCACAATTTCGTACTCTTGTTGCCATTGTGTCGTCTTACTTGCTCCAGTGAAAGTCTGCCGCCTCGCAGAATAACAAAGCATGCATGTTTTGGCAGGGCCTTCCAAGCTCTCTGCCGTCAGTGCAGGCACATTTTGCCGTTCCTGAGGGTTTGGAATCAGTCCAAAGTCTGAATCAGTCCAAAGTCTGAATCAACCCAGGTTGATCTGATCTGCTTCAGCTCAGGATGTGCGACTCAACTTCATAACATTTGCTGGCTGAGGTGGCTGCTGCTCTATCGGGAGGTCTTGGAGCATTGCGACCAAGGCTTCGAGCCTTTGAGGGGCTTAGTGCTCAGATCACAAGCTGAGAAGCATAAGGCGCAAGGCCGTGCGGTCAAGCAAATTTGAACAACGTACAGTAACCCAACTGTCTCTCCACAGAACTGAGGTGTGGTCACGAGCGAAGAGCATCAAAAACTTCCCGGCCTGCCAACCAGAAGGCCACTATTCGCCCCGATTTACTGGCAGGAGGCCTGGTTGAATAACATGATGAGGCGGTCTATGACTTTATTGAAAAAGCTGGAGTCGGGAGCTACCAGTTCGAGCAGGCGTGAAATGAGCATGCGGATAGACATATTGGGCGGCCAGTTAAGCTTCGCAGGTTTTGCTTGTTGCATGCTTCTTTTTCAGCCACTTGGTTGCGCTTGGGCAAGTCACATTTGTTGAGTTGCAGCTTTACATGTCTATTTGTTCAAACACAGCAGAACTGGCCAAGGTGAAGCTGCTGAGCTTGATGCGAGAGCCTCATTTTGATACCGCCCAAAGTTGGCACAGTGGCGAAAGACTTTGCAGCAGGTCTTCAACATGCTTCTAATCGGAAGGCGTTTCAGCAATATTTTTCAGCACTCAGGTGATATCTCCATTGACCACTGCCTGGCGTTTGGAGTGGGCACTAGTTACTGACCAGGCAATAAGTACGAAATGTGACTTTGGGACGGCTGAAGTTGATTTTGTAGCTCGGACAAGCAATCCTTTTAAAGTTAAAGGTGAGGTGCCTGCAGTTGAATGAAATGTATATACTTCTTGTGTTTTGAAAAGTTCGTTGCGACAGCCTCGCAACCTAAAGTAAAGTCTCCTGATCTTCTTGCTGGCAACTATGTTGGTTTGTAAGGGTTGAGGGAGGGAGGGATGGATGGAGGGAGGGAGTGAGGGTAGGTGGGTGGGGTGCTGGTATTCGGTAGGCTTGTTGCGACAATGTGGCAGCAAGAACATAATATAGGCAGGTCCAAGGTTTGTGAGGAAAGGCGGTGGAGCCTGAGTGGGGTGCTTTTGCCGCGATGTGGCCTTGCGTGAAGGGTGTTGGGAAATATCGGAGGCGTGTTGTTCAGGGCTAATGGAGGAATTTGTACCAAGTGTGATGAGGACCCCAAACGACTTAAGACCCCAAAGGAGTACATGTGCTTTTGACCTGGACTCCAAGGGACATGTTGAGCTCCGTCTGAGACTTGAACATGCAGCGTTGAGTTTGCTTCATTGTACAGTGAGGGGAATGTGCATCTCATTGGGAAACTTCACACAGCAACACGTAAAATGTCTTGATCATTATTCCCAGATAGCGAGGGCTACTGGGGTTCTTACTTCAAGTATAGGAAGAGGTGCCTGTGTGCGCGTTGGAGCGTGGGTGGTGCCACTGCAGGGTGCCGTTGCAGGTGGCCGTGCCAGATGTCCATGGCAGTGTGCTTTGGAGCCTGGGTGCTGGTGCCATTGCAGGGTGCTGCGCACAAATACCTGTAATATCTTTTGCTACCTGGGGTCTGTGCTGGTGTCATTATATATATATATATACACGTACACATGTCACTGGAATTGGTTTCCAGTGCCACTGGTTGCTTCCTCGCCCAAACAAAGGTTCCTACCCTATCTACCTAAATGAAAGGGGTCCCACCCTTCCACCTGTAGGCGGGCCGCCGCCTTTTCCCACCACTACCGACGTCCTGAGTGTTCGTCCTTGAGCCAAACACATTGGTTGGCTGGTTTGCTCATTCGAAGGTCTCGTACGGATGGCTTTCACCCGGTTTCCGATTCACACTCATTCTGTTTTCTTTTCATTTGAGATTCCTCAAATGATTCAATCCATCGTGCACTAAACTTTCGGTTTGGATTGCTCTTGAGGGCACTGCTATCATCATAGATACGAAATTTGCCAAGCATGAGAACCTTACGAAGAAATGCTGAATCCATTGGCTTTGTTAAACAATCTGCCAACATGATAGCTGTCGAAATCCATCTGCATTCCGTGGTTTCCGAGGATTGCTGTTTAATCAACATAACTTCGATTGTTGAATGACTTCTTCACAAAGACGGCTATTGGGTTGCGCATACACTTCTAACAAATCAACTTGTCTACCGAAGGCTTGGTGGTTGGTTTCGGCTTGAATTGCTTTCAACAGTCTGGCTTCGAACTCCGTTGCAACTGCAATTTGGGTATCGATGGCCAAAACCTCCCACTCTAGAACCCCTGGCTCTGATGCAACTGCTCCTCCATTTGGCGTCTTGTCTGACAATAGCGAGCGAAATCGGCGATTGGTGCATCCAATGAATTGATCCTGCTCAGGCACCATTGGACATACTGGCTGTCCATCTCGTACACGATTGCATAGGTCTTGCCAGGGTGCTTCTTTCCCCATGTCACCTTCTTCTGGCCCCACTGATCCATTGCCGTGGCTGTCCACGCCAATCCCTGCCCTTGGATTTGATGCTGGGCGGATGACTCTGCTTCGATTGGCGGGTTGCTCGCTTCATCATGAATCCCAGTTCTTCGATCTTCTCCTTCTGGGATTGGACCTCAGTCAGAAGTTCGTTCATCATCACTGCTTGATCTTGCGGAACCTCCTGCTCTGACACCTGAGTGGCCACCTGGTTCAGGAGGATGGCTAGGAGTGTCTTGAGGCTCTGCATCACGTTTTCCGCAATCGACTTGACCATGTTCATCATGTCTCCACGAGTTGGCATCGCTTTGACAATTCTTCGAACGTGCTCGCTGATTGCAGCTTGCTCCAAAAATGCTCTCACAATTCGGCTCTTGGCTACACAAATCTTGCATGCGAATCATGAGGAGTCCTGTTCTGGCTTCATGCAATGGGATGGCTCTATTTAAGACTTTTAGGTGACATGAACTCTTTTGCAAGTCAATCACTGCACCTAGTTGCCGCATGGTTTGAATCGAAAGCAAGAATGGTGTGGCTTTCGGAACGACTTCGACAATCAACCACATTCGAGTCTTTCGATATTCGATCGGAATATGAATCTGCTTGTAACTATATTCTATTTGATTATTCCCGAATCGAAAAGCAACTCGGCTAGCACGATCTTTCACTCGATCTCGGACGGTGATCGGCAGTTGATCAAGGAGCATCGGAAGGTTTTCTTCACCGATTACGCTCCGGCTTGCACCTGTGTCTAAAATTGCCATGCCATTTGTTCGAAAGCCAAGTGACTCTCCGGATTTACTGGTGAGCCCAGTGGCGAGCAAAGGCTTTTGCTGCATCTGCTGAGGACTGTGCTTCCTGACAAGCGGATCGAACGTTCGGTTTCGCTTTGCAAAAAATGTTTGGGTTTTCCTAACGACATCTTCTGCAAACAATGCTTCTGCAACTGGCTCTGACTCGAATGGCTTTGGTCCTGCAAAACCTACTCGGCTTTTGGATTCAATCTCAACCCCAAACCCGACCTGGGCTTCGGAATCGATCTCTTCAAAAAGCACTTGTG